TTTGCTAGTTTAGTAGCAGAGCTAATGCTAATGTCTGACTTGTAGGTTAACAGTTTAAACCTGAGAGTGCCGATAAATGATAAACCTTAGGTTTGGTTCACATCAAATGCAGAACAAATGCTTAAGTCAAACTTGCTAACAAGTTAACATGTTAATTTGTAGGAATACATTTTAAAGGGTTTATTAGTTTTTTGGTTTCCATCTTGACAAACCAGATGGAAAAAATAAGTTAAACTTAAAGTAAATTCTAATAATTTGTAGGTTTAACTCATTCATGTGTTTTTTTTTCTAGCGTTAAGTTCCTAAATAATTCAAGAATAATTCATCCCTAAATTTTGGTACTTAAAAAGATTCCTTTGCCAGACATTGGGATATTACAGACACACAGTCTTTATTTTTGAACAAGGTTCGGTTTTTATTCTTGAACAAATCTCTAGTAAGTAATCCATTTAGTTGAACTCTTCTTGTTTTTAGCACTTTCCAAAAATATCCTAAAACTGATATAAACAACCTGCAACATGCAATTAATTGAGTTTTATTGCAGAAAATGGGCACCTATTTCCTGACATTTCCTAATTTAATTTAAATGACCTTGTTTATAACATTAAGGTCAAAGTAGGAACTACATTTCCTATTTATGTAAGAACATAAATAATGCTCCCTTTGTTTGTCGCTCAGGAATAAAGTCCAGTCTGACTTGAAACTGAACATCCAAACTCAGCAACATCTGCTGTTAATTTACCAACAGCATTTCTGAACCAGTGGATCAACCAGAACTTCATCCTGCTGGGTTTTCTGTTCATCGGGACAGAACCAGGACCGGCCCGCTGCTTCAACAGCCCACAACCTATAATCACATCCCGATTCACCATCTTTATTCCTAGAAGTTAATTTGAGACGCTGCGAATCTGGAAAGTTGCTCCACATTTCCATCGTTTGTTTTATAAACCGAACACAAAGCAGCAAAGATGAGTTGGCAGTTCAGAAAACACAAACTTTGGTTTAAAAAAATGTTTTATATGCCACCAGCCTGAGGTTTACTGTTAATACGGAGCAGATCTTCAGCTTTTTGCAGGCTGCATAAAAACAGCCGACACTATGTGGAAGTAAATTCAGGAAATGTGAAGCGGGCCCAGAAGGGTTAAATGACTCTACCACTTTAAAGCAATGGATTTTATTCAAGGTTAATGTTCTGTTCTTGAACTGAGTTATTTGACCTAAATTCCTTTGCATTCAAGCAGCTGGACTTCTACAGCCAGGATCGTCCACTGCTGGCTATAAGGAAGTAGAGTTATTGGAAAAATTAACCAAAACGTACAGAAGGAACTTAGGAGGAAGAGGAATTATGAATGTGAACAGCAGATTTTTGGATTCATAGAAACTGACTGGTTCAGAAATGCTGGGGAGGTGATTACTGGATCCTCTAAGTCTAATCCATAGAATGAATGAATACAAAATGACTGATAGAAGAAGAAAAACTACAGCTAAACACAAATCAACAGTAAGAAAACATACCTGAATATCCAAAACAAAGGCACAAAGAACCATCAAGAAGAAGATCTTCTGGCCAAACAATACTCTCTAAAGCTGTTCCAGCCACTCAAAGCAGATTGGATACAGCTGAATAATCAACAATTAAATTTTTCCTGGAATAATTGAATTACCTTTTCTTGAAATTGATGAGCATTGACGAAAAGCCACTGATATGAAGCCTCACCAGCTTTACTTTGGAGATAATTAACAAGTTGTACCCAGACCTACTGGAGCTTTTACTGCCATGTAAAGGCCACCTCTGCATGTCGCAATAAAATGCTGTGGTGGTCTGCGGTGGCACAGTGGAAAGTTAACATTTTGTGTGCTGCCAGTGTTTGAAATAGTGCCGTTTAGTCATGAATCTGAGCGGCTAATGATGGGAAACAAAGGCTGCTGGCTTCTCAGACAGCGCCGCTCTCCGTACAGTTAATCCCAGCAACAAGAAACAGGCAGATTCCCTAATCCAGGGACAAGCTCTGATCAGAGGAAAACCTCAGTCTCTCTGTCAGCCAGAGACTTTACTTATTCCTTTAAGAACTTTTATTTGCTCTAATTACAGGAAAAGGCTGTTTAAAAGCTTGAGCTGTCCAGATCAATCAGTTTTGTCAGGATGTGTGACCACGGTTTCCTTCAGTACAGCAGCAAAACTGAAACTGGAACGGTGAAAGTTACTTCTTCTTTGTTTGAAGAAATTTACATTATTACTAAACAGATCTTTGAATCTTAAAGTTTCAGTTCCTGCTTGAAGTTTCCGTGTCAGCAAACTTGAGCCACCAGTGACCAATGAAGCTCCTTTAAAGACATTACCGATTCTCTGTGAACATTAAAAGACATGTCTAAATATACAAGAAATGATGAAAATATTCAGAAAAGTATTAACTTATTTATAATAATTTGACTGGACAATGGTGTGGTTGGTAGCACTGTTCTCCCCATGCAAGAGAGAACCCACATGTACCAAGTGGATTCTGTCTTGGTACTCCGGCTTCCCCAACAGTCCAAAAACAATACCCAATACCAGTAGGTTCTTTGGTCTCTCTACGTTGTATTTGGTTGTTTATCTAGTTATGAACTGGTGACCTGTCCAGGGTGTATCCTGCCTCTCGTCCAGTGACTACTGGGGATACCCATTAATCCTGACCCTTGCAAGGGCAAGCAGCTAGACTATCGATGTAGTTCAAATGTTGAAAACTAGATAAGAGCAGTGTGCTATCAATAGCCTCCGTGGTTTGTGTAGGATGTGCATCAATAGGCTCTGTGGTCAGGTTTAGACCAGAAGCGGTTTGGTAAAAACCAGCCACTTGTTCTACACTTTACCTTAATCAGAGGATCTGGACCCTTGGCTGAAGTCATGTATTTTGAAGTTTTAAACTTTACTAAATTGCTAATATTTGTCTGTGATGGATTAAGAACAGAGGAAACCTGGTGCCTTACCCAGAGAGCAGAATCCTGGAAACCCTCCTGGAGCCTTGGATGTCCTCGTGTCCTTATTGATGAGCTCCTGTTCCCCAGACTGTGGATCCTTTGACATGATTGGGCCAGCCTGAAGGAGTTAGAGGAAATCCCCTCTGGAAGGAGCTGGAGGAGGTTTCTACAACCAGGTCCTGAACATGACTCTTCCTCCAGTCCAAGTTCTTCCTGGTTCCTGTCATCACCTCCGTTTTCACCTGCTTCATCGCTTCTCCCACCTGTTCCCTCTCTTTCTTTTCCTCTTTACCCTTGTAGTGTTTCTTTGCTCGCCTGGGTAATGACCATATGTTTGTAGGCCATCAACTACCAAAGCACAAATTATCTCAAGGCTGTTTCTGCATCAGCGCCTTTCATTGCATCTCTTCGTATTCTGTAGCGAAGCAGACATCACAACGGTCTGCCTTGGACTGCCTTTGGTTTCTGGATCAATAGCTGGCAGCTGTGCTTGATCAGTCTGAGTCCACTGACTGGACATTATCGCAGCTTTCTCTTCTCTCATCGTATTGAATTTTGCACATATTTGCCGTCTTTGTTTGAACAAGCTTTTCTGTCAGGACTGTTTGCATCCTGATATGTGATAATTCTTCTTTTACAGTCTTGAATACCTGCAACATTATACCACCTGAATCATCACTACAAAGTGTCTTGAACCAAAAACAAGCAAAAACTACTTCACACATGTCAGATATGAGGACCAGTAAATACCAAGGTTCTTGTTTTTCACCCTGAAAGTCCCGAGATGTGAGTCTGTCTGCCTTTCGGTTTTGTAAATTTAGTCTTTGGCGTGCTGAAGCAGGTTTTTCTCCACAAAAACAGTGATATATCACACCAACTTTGGCTGCGCTGAATAAAAAGAACGTCACAGGAATCCTTCACATTTATAGCTTTGTAGAAGCCAGCGCACCTCAGTGTGACAGAGCGTAGGAGGATACGGTGAGTGACTGCCAAACGACCCAAACATTAAATAAATATGAGCAGGGACCTCGTGATTAGTAGACCTCGAGCCAGAGCAGGAAGAGTTCAGCCACAGGGGAAGAAGTTCAGCCTTCACCTGCTGATTGTCCCCAGAAAGAATGACTCATTTACAGTATGTGAAGCCAACTAGTTCTTTTTAATGCATAAAATCAAACTGATTGTAGAAAATCCCACACACCTCAGACAGTAAAGACTTCAGTAGCTGCATTAGACTTGTTAATCTTTAAGAAGATTGTAATGTAAAAGATATATATATATATATATATATATTTGTTGAAACTCTGTCATGACAGAATAGTGAGACAGATAATCTGTGGGGAAAAAATCAAGCTCCTCTGCCTTCTACTAGTGCTCCCAGTGCTAACTATTAACAACCAATCAAAGCCAGGAGGCGGGGCTTAGCGCTGTCAATCATGCTCACCTTGCTCTCTGGTCTGGTACAATGTAGCTTCTCCATGTCAGCAGAACCTGTCGTGAATGCTAAGACAAGTTAGCATGGCTACCGATGATGGCTAGTAAGTTATTTCTCCACCATTAACACATGTAGAATCATGTTCACAAGGTTGATAGACAGTGCTAAGACCCTCTTCCTGGCACTGACTGGTTGTTTTTGACCAGAGCGGTGCATTTCTTCAGATTGCAATAACAGCCCAGGGAGGAAGACCTTTTCTCAGATTATCTGTTTCATATTATACTGTCACAACATGGTGATAGTTTTAACAAATATGTAAAAAACTTTTTTATATATATAAAAGTTACATACAGCTGGTTTAAGTGTGATAACAACCAAAAGTAAGAACGATTTGTACTACATATAAGCTGTAACTATTTATTTACACATCAAATCAGGTTTTTATTATTATTATGAAAGTATAGATATTCGAAGTTTAACTGTGATTGTTACAAAACTCTTCTTAAGGTCGTCCAGGGAGCTTGCGCCTGTGTAGTCCCTGTGCGGCTGTGGTCGGTCTACCTTAAATATTTCCGCTCTGATGTTACAGTGACACACTTTACGCCGCTGCTCCGCTCAGTCAAATCACAACGGGGGCGCCGCCGCCGCAGTCAGAAGGTTGTCTCTATGAAACCCTCCGAGGGAACCCCTTAAACTGATCAAAGTTTGGACTCTTTTTCGGATGATACCGGAGTGGAAACGCTCGAACAACCCAAGCATGACGAGTTGTGACGGTTTGCTACCTCTTGCCATGTCGGCGTAGCGAGAAAAGTCCGGAAAAGTCTCCGTCGTCCGTAACAAACAATCCGAGCTGTACCAGGGCATTCGTGGCCGTCGAGTTTTCCCCTTCTTTTTCGCTGTTATTATCGGTTTCATTTTGATATTTTTCGGGGAATGTACCTTTTCCGAACCGGTCTGGACGTGTTAAGGTGCTTTTAAAGTCGGGATAGCTCTACTTTTTTCTTATTTGGACTTTGTTGCGTTGCCTCACCATGTTGCCGAGCACGGCGCAGTACGCGATGAAGAAACGGAAGAAGCCGGTGCAGAAAACGTAAGTTGACAAAAGCATAACTTCGCTAAATTGTTTTATTAACAACTGATTACTCTCTAATAATAGTCATTTAAGAATATTTTCCCAGTTTTTATGCCTTTTTGGGCTACCAAGGAAGTGAATCTGATTATTTTAATAACAACATTGCTCTAAAATCTGTGTTATATGTTTTTGGATTTTCAAAACAAGAAGGTGCAGCTGTGCAAACACATCCAGACCAGTCAGTGCATTGCAGCCTGTTGTTACATAGTTATACAGCTGTAATAAACCCTGCTGTACTCTGTGTGTCGTGACGTTGGGAAATATCCCAACCATCATTTCGATCCATTCATCCCCGCATGGCTGGGTTCCGCATTTTAGGGGGAAACCTTCTTGGTTTTCTAGTTATGAAAGCAAACATGTTTGTGTTTTCCTCTGGATTTCCCCTCTGAGGACTCTCTGAAGGGTCCTTGAGAGTAATGTGAGGCGAACCTTGAATATTTCAGGTGAGTTTTGTCCGAATTAAGTAACTGGATCTCTTTGTTAACAACCAGAAGCCCACATTCACACACATCTCCTTCCTCTGCTGCAGCATTGTCAACAGATTTGTTCATTGGGTTAATGTGAACTCTGTCGAACCTGTATTGATTTCAGTAAACCCATAAACACTTAATGTAATCCTCTGTTGAATATAAGGAGCCATTATTGAAAACCAGTTGGTGGTGACCCTCTGTTTAGTTGTTGCTCTAACCTCTGGAATTGGATTTGCCTCCCATGCTGCTTCAATAAGCCAATATGGCCGCTGGTTCTCCTTATGTAAACAGATTTGACTTGTTTTTCTGCCAAACACACTACAGCCAGGTAACATGCCAGCGTCTGACGTAAACCATGTCGGAGGACTCTGTACGATGTTTGCTGCTGTGTTTGTGTTTGGCCTGTTTGGTTGGAGCAGAAATGTCCTGTTGCTGCAAAACAAGCCCACATTACCACCCCTCCACCACCATGCTTCCCAGTTGGTTTGAGGTGGTTGTGTTGATATAATACGGCCAAGCATCTTTACTTTGGTGCAGTGGTCAAAAAGTAACCAAAGGGTAACGTGTGCAGCTTTGGATTCGTTGATTATTCAGTGCTTTAGTTTCTGTGCGTCTGCTCTAAGGTGTCTTAAGACCTTCTAGGTTTGCACCAGAAGGAATCAATTTGTTGTAACATCTCAGAGATTTCTGAAAAATCTCTCAAACTGTTTCTCCGTTTGATTCTTCGTTCGGAGAGGATTTAATTTTGCCTTTTTCAGGACAGCTAATCCAGATCTTCTATTTCTGATCCGTATTTTTGGTTTGAATAATTTGGTTTTGGTCTAAAATAATGTAAGTATATCCATCCATCCCTCAGCGAATGCTTTAGACCTCGTAACTGCCTGCTTTTATAGTTCAAGCGCCAAATATACACAACTTTGCATTAATGCGCATCTTAGAGCCACCGCAGAAGCTAACACCTGTGGTCTTCCTTACCGCTTGCAGCCAATCATCACCAAGGAAATTAATGATGCTCCTGGATTATATAGTATATTAGTAGCATTGAGTCTCTTAGAATATTTCAGAGAAAAATCTGCAAATTTTGTGTATACTGAAGCGCAAAGGGGCATAGGTCCACTGTAGTCAAATGTGGATCTGAAAATAACAAAACTAAGTCAACAAAACTAATATTTTTAACCAGAAGATGAATTAAATCAGCCAAACTTTAATTCTTAAAGTTGATTTGCCTCCTTAAGGATTAAAATAAACAGTTTCTTACATGAATTTGAACCCAGACTGTTGTGTTTTAATAACAGGGAAATTGTGTATTTTTATTGGTAAGTATTCATAATTTTAAAGTTTTTCCCTATTAGTAAACAAAATGCTGTACAGCAATAGATTGTCGTCGGTAACCCTGGTCCTAATCGGTCTGTATGGACCTAAATGAGGGATTGAGGGATCGTTGAGCAGAAATAAAACCACATCAGCCTCTCGGAGTGTAATAAAAGTCATTTTTAGCCGTCCTCCAGCCGCTCCAGGCTGCTTTAAACCTTTTCTGTTTCCTCCTCTCTCATCGAACCAGTCTGTAGTTCAACTAGTTCAACTTTTCAACAAAAGCAGAGCAAACGCGAGCTGCTGCGAACAGTCTGAGCGCAGATCCGTGGCAGAGCCCCATCCAGAACCGTGGTTTCAGTGTGTGTGTGGCGCTACCTGCATTAATCATAATCAGGACGTGCAGCGAGAGCGCTCTCACGCAATGTTTCCACGAGGGAGGAGGGAGAGCAGGAGGATGGCGTAATCTGAGACTCGCTCACTATTTTTTCTCCTCCTCCTCTGACTGCCACAACATACTTTTTTTCCTGTCTTTCCTTATGTCTTTGTGTGTTTTGTTGAGGAGGGGGGGGGGTGTTTTTTTCCTCCCTCCCTCGACTCAAATTAACATAGTTTTGTGTCACGCAAACGTTACATAAGTCTGCCATGTTCGGGGTTTTAGGAAAAGTGGCTCCCAGGGAGTTTATCTTTCTTTATTTGTAGGGAAATGGAGCTGGTTGGGTGAGTTCTGCGCTCACTCGCTCTAACTTGAGGGGAGAGCAGAAAAGTTTCCATTTGTGGTGATTTCTGTGTGAGTAAATACACCAGCATCATGAAGCGGAAAGGTGAAGCCTGGACAGACACCTGGACGCAGGTGGAGGCAGACAGTGTGAAAGTTCATCCCTAACGTGTTGGAGGCTGAGGTCACGGCTCTACAGGCTGCTCGGCTTCCTCCCACACATTCATCACAGCAGCTGAATACTTCTGAGGTTGCTCATTCACTTCCTCTCTGACAGCGGACTTTTCTGTCCTTTACAGAGATAAGACGCTTGGTTTGTCATTTAGATCCACTCCAATCGATCTGGAGGAGAAAGAAGCTGCTGAAGTGTTTCTGCCATGATTTTAAACACGATAAGGTTGCATTAACCACATTTATTGGTTGTGGTCACGTGTGTGTGTGAGAGAAGGCTTCCCACAGATTTTTAACCCTTTTTCTTTGAGCCTATTGTTGAGGTCGGACACTGATGTTGGACGCAAAGGTGAGGCTGAGTTTGGAACAGGATGAGGTTGTCACTAGAAGAGGTCAAAGTTCGATAATACAAGTTTACATCGCTAATATGGGTAATAAGTGGACAGTTTATGCAAAGCAACAAAAGCAGGACATTTAATGAATCTGTTCACTTTACTGAGCTGAAAGGTTTGATGTGTCTTGAAGTTGCTCCGGGTACAGATGGGTTTCCATCCAGGTGTTTTCTCTGCAACACTTTAACGAGTGTGTTCTTTATGTCAAAGGTGAGATCAGTGATTCTGCTCCAGATGAGATTTTATTGGCTTGGAAAGACTCCAAAACAGACTCTGGGACTTTCTGAATGCTGTGTGCGTGCAGGTAAAACAGAGGTGTGTGTGTGTGTGTGTTTCTGTTTGAGGGGATCCAGTGGGGTTAGAGCCCAGTACCTGTGCAGGTGTTTACATTGTTAGCTTAGCACATGATCCAGAACGGTTCTGATTGTTTTGCGGATCTGTCACGTGACGTCTGCCGGTTTTTATTGTCTGTGAACAAATGCGGCTTACCCAGATCAACCACAGAGCTCAGCCACATTAAAATCAGTCTCTTTAGTAATACTTATCTGCTGTTTTCATTCTGCAGACACATAGGAGACTCTGGAAAACAACACAATTAGTCATAAAAACAAGATTCAGGTCGAAGGAGGAAGCAGGTTGTTTGCTTTTATTGCAGCACTTCTCTCAGATGATAAGGTCTGAAAACTTCTTGCTTTACATTTCTAATAAACGTCGTGAGCTGTCCCGCTTTCGGCCGCTGATTGGAGCGGGTTCTTGTGCAGCCCGGCGGTCAGATGCTGGTGTTTGGTTTGGGTTTGTGGTGAGGTCATGCTGCAGTGAATGTAACGTGTTAAGTGAAGGGACAGCTGCAGCAGACGTAGCGTCTCCCTCTGTCTCTCATGACTGACATGTGATGGAAATCAGGCCTTCAGCTTTCTGACCAAACACAAGCAAAAAGGACTCTTTGTGTTTAAGAGCTGATGCTGTAAAAAAGGAAGATGATGTGTGGAGGATTTGAACAGAGATTTTAAAGACGCTTTGACCTTTTCTGAGTTCACTTTGCTTTTAAAGCAGCAGCCAGTAAAGCTGAAACTATTTGGATGCTTTTAGGGTGAAAAACCAATAAATTCCTCACATTGTCTCCATGTTTTTCTGTAAAAAAGACGCATTATATCATCAACAGACTGTTGGTGCATGACTAAAGCCAATATGTATGATTGTTGCTGATATTTGTGATATTCTTAGAGTTGGGTTGCAGGTATTTTATTGGCTCAGGTGTCGTGTTTCTGATATGAGCTCTAATGATCCTCCTGTTGTTTCTGGATCACAACTGCAGCAGAGAACACAGTGTTTAGTTTCTATTGTTCTGAAAAGGTGCTGCTGCCTCGTCACGGACAAAGTGCCTTTGTGAAAGCGCAGGAGAGAGTTTCTTCAAGTCTAAAACACACGCACGCACACACACTCCAACACATACACTCCCATATAATGCAAAGCGTTTTCTTCAGCTCACACGCCCCTCTCAGGACAGATCTGCTCGATAAGACGAGGAGCAACAACACTGGCTGCTCATTGTTCTTACAGGGAACGCCGTCAGGAATGCAGCGATAGTCATCTCGCCTTGATTCCAGATATGTCGTGCACCACAGTTTTATTTGAAACAGATGTCTTATTAACAAGACAGGAAAGGACAATTTTTAGATATTTATTTTATACAAATACACATTTTAGTGCTGTACATTAAACAGGGTGTGTGACACATTGTGATTTATCTATTCTGGAGGAGAAATGTTGAGTTAAAGACCTAACAAACCGGTACCTGTGTTGTAGATGACAGCTAGTGACAAAAACACTCCAGTTCTGCTCAGGTTCTGACCAGCATTGTCACTCTGCATCTGCATTTCCTCAGAGTAGGTTTAAGAAAGCAACAGTGGATGGCAGCAGCTGAAAGTCTCACTTTTTATCAGTCATAAATATTTTGTGCTTGTAAATCAGACGATGTCGTTGTGAATGGAGTTTTGTGACCTTGTCAATTAAATGGCGGAGGATTTTATCTTTCAATAGATAAGAATTTGTGTGTAATCAAGATTTGTATTTGTGAAAAATTTTTCTTGTAGTTTTTTATAGATGCAAAGTAAAAAAAACCCTACATATAACATTTGATATAAAAATGCTGTTTTGTAAAGAAAACAACCTGTTTTCAGTTTGCAGCATCAGCCTGGCTTGGTTTGTGGTTTTTCATCGTTCATATATTATACTGCTTGTTTTACTTTATAAAGTTTTACCTCCCAAAGCGCTGCGTCACTCTAAAAGAAAGCGTTTTAAATTCTGATCTGCTTTAGAAAACAACTGAAGGCCCGACTGGGACTGATTTATGTTAATGTCAGGATTTGTGGGTTTTCTGGCACTGAAATCTGAAATATGTCTTTAATGTTCACACACATTGGTCTGGGCTCACTGGGCTCCTGGTTTTTCATGTTATTTTGAAAAAATACTGGCTTGAAACACACCAGTATAACAATGTCCAACTCACTGCCCTGCCCTGATTCTCAGAAGTTGATAAAATCAATGAATAAGATCGATTTTAGTATCGACCGATGCCGATACTTGTTGCATCTTTTATTTTGACAGAATCAGATGATCATGGATGATAAAAAACACTCTCACCGGGAGTCTTCTTAAAACTGGTTGATGAGCTTAACCAGTGGAAGCAGAGAATTCCCATGTTTTGTCAGCCAGTGAATGCACCGTCGGTAGGTGGCCAGTTTGTTCTAGTAACAGCAGGTCTCTGGATCAAACGGTGAAGTCAGAAGAAGCTTACTCATGTGAAAACATGATTTATAAATGTTGGCAACCGGTTGAGAAACTCTGAGCAACAGTAAGACTCACAGATCTCCTGTCTGAGATTTAAGACGTTTCAAAACGTCTCCATGGCGATCATTTCATCTGTTTTTGTTTGATATTGAAACAATGGTTGATTTTATTACTGCAGCGCTCTCTCTCATCACTTCTTCTCTCAATGTGAATATTTAATGTCAGAAAACCCTGTTCATTTACACTGTAGTATTTACAACGTCCCACAAAACACAGTTTACTGTCCAAAGAAAGATTTGCAGTAATAAATATATTTATTCATTTATTTTCAGGTTCGGTTTTAGAGAGAAGCTTGTTTTAGCATAGTGACAATTATTACTCTGAAATTACTTGGATATTTCTGGTATTTTCCCCCAGTTTTTAAGATTACATTTTTTTTATGTATGTTTATTTCTTTGTTTTAATTACATTTTTTTTCTATTTTTAATTTATTTTTTAACATGTCCTTTTCCAGGAGAAACCCAACAGATTTCCTCCCACAGGTGGAGCGTTGCAGTTTTATCTCTCCACTTGTTTCATTCGTTATTCTTCTTCAGAGCAGCTGGAAGCTGCTTAAATTAAAACCAGCAGGTCAGAGTTTTACTATAAGTAAAAAGTTGACTTTAATCAAGGTTTGTTTATCATCACTGATTGCTTAGTCAGATATTTGGCTCTTCTTATTTAGCTTTTCTTTTCTTCTTTTTGAGGAGTTTTGTGTTTCTTTTGTCAACTAAAATAGCTGAATCTGTTTGTTTTGAATAAAATTTGAAGCATAAAAGCTAATGGGTTCGTGGATTTTGAGTTCCTCCACGAAAGGCAGCCTCAGCTGACCTTTGACCCTCATCAGAGCATTCTCCTCTGAAGCTGATTTACCTCTGTGTGAGCCCCACCTGCAGCTGTGAGGTCAAGGGTTGCATACGACCCAGCCGAAGCCTGAGGGAAATCTGGTTGGGGGGGAGGAGGGTTGTCTTTAAAGAAAAGCATATGTTTTATGGTTGCCATGGAGATTTAAAGAGGCAGTCCATAATGAGCAGATAATGCTCAGTTTCTGGATCTGCTCTCCATCAGGAGGCGGTAAACAAGTCCTGGAAAACAGCTGACCTCATTCCCGCTCACCTGGTTCCCATGGTAACCGGGGAAGCAGCTGAAGCAGCCTCCCTGCGGAGAGCTGAGGCGGTTTGTGATTTTAAACTGATAAGGGCAGCAAGAGGGCCGGGCCTGTTGTTTTGTGGTAATATTGTGATAATGATTTTATTTATTTATTATTATTATAAACACACCTACTTATTTGTTCATATTTATTGATGCTTTATTGAACAAAATCGGAGAAAGTAGTACAACTAACAAATCTGACATTAATTAATCATGAGAATGAATCAAAATTCCCACCATGAATTGAAATTAATCACGATAAATGATGAACGATGCCCCCAGTTCTCCTCTGTATGGTTTTGCACACAGAGATGTTTGCATGTTTTCCCTCCTGCAGCGGAGCGAGAATTAGAAGCAGCTGTGGATCTCTGACGCACGCAGACGTCCGCTTCAGTTGCACCTTCAGCGCTCGCTCTGGTCTTCACGACCTTTCTCAGTCAAAGCCGACCTCCGGCTCCCAGCGGAGAGCTCTCTGCTCCAATGTGGGAACCGAGCGGACTCTCACTGCTGTTGGTCTCTGTCCGCAGACCCAAGCCGCCTCCGCCCAATGGCACCAAGTCCAACCCGTCCAAACGCCACCGGGACCGCCTCAACGGAGAGCTGGACAAGCTCACCAGCCTGCTGCCGTTCCCAGAGGAGGTGCGGGCGCGGCTCGACAAGCTGTCGGTGCTGCGGCTCAGCGTCGGCTACCTCAAGGTCAAGAGCTTCTTTAACGGTGAGTGTTGGGTCAGCAGAATACAGCCTGAGATACAGCAGATGGTCTAGTCAAAGCCTAGATCTAAATAAAACTGAGAATCTGTGTCATGACTTTCATCAGATCTGGCAGACGGTTATGTTGGTGTTTGTTTTAAAAACTGCCTGCAGTACACTGTAAAAACACAACATCTTATCTCACCAAGTATTTCTGTCTGGTTTCTTCTGCAAACGTCTTAGTGCACTTTAAAAAAGACAAAACTAACTTACCAGTAACTTTTCAGTTACATAAGAGCTTGTTTTTAGTAAATCATTCCTTAATATTGATGAAAAAGTACTTTGTATAAGTGAAAACTTTTTCATTAATGTTAAGGAATTATGGACTTAAAACAAACTCGTATTTCTTCCAAAAAAGTAGCTTTTAAGTTCAATTGTACTAAAACATTTCCTCCAGAAATATTTGGTTAGATTTTGTGTTTTTGCCATGTAGAAGAAACTGAGCCCAGATCTTTTCCAAGAAAGCTTGAGCTGCTTTCTTGAAAAAGAGGTGAAGCAGAGGAAGGGTTTGTTTTGTTAGAGAAGCAGAGGAAGAACGATACTTTCCAACTCCTTTTGAAAAGACAAATGTGTCCTCCGGGGCTCAACTGATTATTTATTTGAAAGTAAAACCTCCTCTATTTCTGTCATCATCGCGTGTCGTCCAAAGATCATGGAGGGTTTGGCTGCTGAGCTTCCAGGAAACTTCCTGACTTTGTTCTGCTGCTCACATCACATCCAGGAGAGCCGGAGTGGAGCTGAATCTCTGGTCCCTCTGGCTCACCGTACATTTAAATCTGGCCTCCGCAACAGCAGCAGGTGTGAAGTGGTGGCAGCCTGCCGTCCACCTGCCATCTGAAACGTGGATAAAACCAGCCGGTTGCAGATATTTGTGCTGCAGAGAAGCAGATGGTGATTGGAGGAGGTGAAGCATGACCACATCACAGAAAAATTAAACCGCTGCTGCATCAACGGGAGGTTTTGTTCTTCACTCTGAAGACTGACGCCCCATTATCTTCAAAACAGAACCTTTTGGGTCTTGGTTCTTTCCTCTCGCGACCCGTTGCCAAGGGAAACGAACAGCAAACTCTGTTGCCTCGAGATCATCAATTATTGGCAGCGCAGTGTGTCTGGTTACCGTCAGGTCGACGCCACGCTTTATGCAGCACTCTGGACCGCTGCAGTCATGGCTCTCCGTCTGGATGTGAGTGGAGCTAGCTGGATGTGTGGAGGTGTAATGACAATAATTTTCTGCCATAAGTTATTATTCTGCAGGTTCATTCCCTCCCCTGTAAATTTGATGCCAAGCCATGTTCACATGGGAGCTTTTAAGACCCGCAAAGAGTCACATAAAAGCCGACATTAAAGGCAGGAAACGATTCAAGGTGGACCAGATGAAAGGACAAGGTCAGCTTTAACTGAAAACAATAAAACATAAGACTTTAAACAGCTGAAAGTCACTTCATAAAATCAAGTTTATAAAGCTCTGATGGAGTTCAGGATTTCTTACTGTAACTCACCTGATTCAGATTCTTCTGATTTGACTGGATGTGACTCCTACACAGATTTAATATCATGTACGGTTTTATTATCCTTAAAGAGATGCTTGTCTAATATTTTATCAGAAACAGACATCATAATTCAATAAAAATGGAGCTAAATCTTCCAGGGTCATCAATAACTTTGAGGTTAATTTTACCCACAGCTTACAGGTTACTTTCTGAAACGTTGCAAAATATACATTACCCCCCCCCCTCCTGTTTCTTGATGCTTGTCAGGACCCCACTTAGCGATGAGGGACCAGGACAGTAACTAAGCAGGAAGTGCTTTGATCCTCCGGCCTCCGGAGGGTAAACTCAACCTTGGTGTCAGGGGAACGCTGCATATTTTCCACACACTGTTTCAGCACTTAGAGCCGCCATGTTTAACGCCGCATGTCGACTGTGGCGTTAAATGAGACGCCTTCACATGGGTCTCATTGGTGAGGCTGTCCGGAGGCGAAATCTGGGTTGTGTGAAGGCTCATGGGAAGGCCAGCGTCAGCTCCAGAAAGAGGAGATCTCTGTCCGTCCTTCGTGTCCTTCGTGTCCTTTGTGTCTCCGACTTGTCCCCGAGCGTGGGGCGGAGCTGCAGGTTGAGGACTGGGGGCTGAGGTTTGGGGGCTGCTGGGAAACACCCGAGGGTTTGATCTCGCATCCAAAGCTCACAACGCAGCCATTGTTCCAGTTTCTGAGGCAGACCTCCTTCATGTTCAGACAGAGCTCCGTTTCATCCTCACTGTCTCCGTCTGTCTTCTCTCTTTGTGTCTTCTTTCTGGTGACCGCAAAGACTCATTTGAACGACTCCACTGCTAGAAACAGCCTGATAGATGACCTATACACCAGGAGACCTGCTGTAGGACACACTGTTCATGTGTTATCTAAACACACACACCACGCCCTGGGATGGATTACTAAACAAGGACAACAGCAGGGGCCCCAAAGGGTCCAACTGTAACTGACCCTTGTACTCAAAGAGTACACAAAGAGTCACCACACAGCAGCAAAAACTGAGAAAACGATGAGAATCACTAAAGGACAATCAGAAATTAATCAAGAATGTTTCAAAAGTTCGCAGAAAAGAGTCAGAAACGGATTTAAATGTGCCAGAAAGACATAAAAATATTTAAACAAAACAAGGAGGCGAACAACTAGAAAGAGACGAAAATATTCCAACACACTCGCCAAACCTGTTCCAGAGATGTACATAAACTGCTAAAGGATGGAAACATTTCACAACACCTACAGCACAACCAGAAAAAAGTCAAATACGACCCACATAGCAACAGAACAGAGGAGAAAGAGGAAACGGAAAAAGATGAAGTTAGAAAGACATCGATGACGAATGATCCAAAACAAATCAGAAAGACGGAGAATAAGACTCAACAGCAATAATGTAAAATATGATTAATCAAAATTGGGAACAGCTAAAAATGCTAAAATACGCACACAATTTCTGAAAATCAAACAAGGCGACAAAAAGGAAATTTAGCTCATAACTGATCAAGAAACTTAGTTTATAAATCTTCTGGCAGAAAATAAAATGACCAGAAACGAAAAAAGATGCCTAAACGTCTCAAATAATTCATAAAGCAAAGAGACAAGCATGTTCCACGAAAACAGGAAGATTTACAAGTTAATGTGAAATATTCAAAGAATATGCAAAGAAGCTTAAAGACAAAGTCAACAAAAATGTTCTTCTATTGGCACCGTTTCTGTTGTCACTGATTACACCATGTTAAATTCATCAAGCGATGCCAAACCTTTGTTGTGAAAAGTAAAGAAAGGAAAAAGAAATCCTCATCACTTAATACAGCAACATTGTAAGACTGCTTTGCTTTTTTTAGAATATCGTCTATTTATTATGTTATTACAGAGATAAAAACAATTATTGTCTTCAGAAGTAAATCTTTTTAGTTTTAGTTAAAATGACAAAATGTGGTCGTTGAATTCTACAAACTTTTTTGGCCTTAATGGGAAAAAGTTTGGACTCCACTAAGTGAGTGAGTGGGGAGGATGTGGGATGGCAAAAAAAAAAACAAAACCCAGAGCGGAAAACTGTCCTCAGACCGACCAGAATACCAGAAATATGGATAATATAAACCAGAAGATGTAAAAACATCCTCAGCAGGACGGTCATTAAACTGATCAGATGGCTGAATCAGAACAACTCAGATCGACACGTCCTGCAGACTCATGAGCAGGATGACAGGAGCGCGTGGAGACGAGCGGATCGGGTCGGATCGGGTCGGCTCTGAAGTGTTGGTTGCGGCGCTGAGGACGTTTCTGGCTGCCTAGAGTTGTAATTTGTGGTCTTTTAATAGCTCAGCTGAACTTCCCTCCTTCGCTGCGCATTAGGAAACCCACACTCTCAGTTCTGTGTACACACATTTTTCTCTTTGTTGTGCGTTGATTTTCTCCCTCTGAACGTGCACACACCCTTCCTCGTTCTCGCTCACGAGGTTTCCAGATGGAGGCTGGCTCTTTGTTGTCATGATTTCCTTCTCGCTGATAAAAACATTCAACTTTCTCAAACTGCTTTTAGAAAACGGCCCACTTGTGTTGATCATTTAAAGACAAACGCAAAGGAGTTGTGTGTGTGTGAACACAGTGTCCCTGCTGTGCTTCCACTTCTGCTTTTCCCTGCTCTTTGACTGACAGGCTATCATGAGGTGTCAACAGACGCAAACAGCCCGGTTTGGAGCAGCCGTTACATAAACACCAACCATTTTCAGCGCAGCAGCTGCTTCGGCTCTCTGCCTGCTTTAGCACCATTCGGTCGGGACCCGTCTACGTCCTGGAGAGAAATGAGCCACACTGAAATGATTCTGGTCTCAGGATTCATGCCGGTTATAGAAGTCCAGGAATATTAGGGACTTTTTCCAGATCAGAGGTCAGCTGAGTGGCTTCCCTGCTGGTAAACTGCTGAGTTACTGGACGGCTGCCACGGCCGTCACATGTCGGCTTCTTTCTCATACAGGAATTAAAGCAGCCGCACGCTGTGAGGGGGATACAGTTTGGACTCTGGTGGATTTTTACAGCTCACAAGGGTTGGCAGGAAGAATCGAGGCCAGTTTGTTCACGATTAAAACAGGAAGTAGGACGGGGGCGCAAATGGCAACGCACTTGATTAGCCAGAAAACAAATTAACTCATTTCCGACAAACTGAAATGCGAAAATGTGAAGTAGCTGTCAGTGAACAGGTCTGAGCTGATTCAGGAATCGTTCAGAGCTTCATTTCTTCATGTAGATGTTTGATCTTCTCTGTTGTGATCTGTGTTTCTACAGAAAACCAAACATGCTTCCTTCCAGGTTCCTGAACGCTCTTTGAAACCAAAACACATTTCCAAATGCTGTCAGCAGGTGTTAAGTTGGTGATACTCCCCAACCGGACAGCGTTTATAAACTGACATTACGTATATTTATAGATTTAGCTGTTTCTGCATCTT